CCTCCCCAGCGGGGATGTTAATGCATGCGGCCCTAAGAAATGTGGTGTTCGTCTCGTTTTTGAGTATTTTAGAGCAACGGGTAACTTGCGTGAGGAAAGTTTGTTTGGAAAAGTTGTTTGGATTATCGGTAGTGCTTAAAATGTGTTAAAACTGCCTCACAGATTTCTCATACACGGCCAAAAGTAAGTACGAATGTTTTTGTATATGCCTCTTTTTCACAAAACATTTTGCCTAGCTTTTTCCCTTCAGTAGAGCAGACTTCAACGTAGGTTTAAGCATGAAGCAAATCACCCATTGCTCTTTGCTATTGCTGATTACGGTAAAAACCTTGTAGAGGATTTTGAGCCATAAAAAGCTGCATACTACGCTGGAACAGACTGCACCGCTAATTATCAATACGACACTCGCACTTTATCGTAAGGCGTCTTTACAAGTAATGCTAAGTGAATTAATACTGTGTTTCAGTACTTCATAAAAATGTGTTTTCAGCATTCGAAAGTTTTGAAACTCGTCAGGAGATGTTCCAATAAAATCAGTATACCTAGGAGTACTGCTACACAATTTTCCAGGTTTTTTTGAACTTTTTGTGCTCGCGCAACTTTCGGAATGGCGCTATAGGCTGATTGATGGGAGGTTTGTTCAATACTGCAAATCTAAGCTGGAGCCTGTTTCATTGAATGGTACTCAAAGTAGGGTAAGAGACTTTGTGGAAAGAGAGTTATCGATGACTATATCCCGTGTCGAAGTGTGGGAAGTGCTAATTTAACGTTTCCTACATAGTTAAGCAAAAAGTTAACGGGATTTTGCCCATCTTGTTGGGTAGCTCCCAGCTTGCCCTTGACGAATGCAAAATAGTGTTTCAGAAAGCGCTTAATGGTTTGACATCATATCCACATTGTTTCTGAAGGTCGCTCTTGCCGAGTTCTTGTCTAAGTTATTGCAAACATTAAAAAAGCTTACGATCCGTTCCCCATCCAAATGATCTCAGGCGCACGTAAGGATCTTCGAGTTCTACCACTTGATGCAGGAAAGGAAGACAAATATGATTTACTGTGACCGGCACATCTCTAGTTAATTCAAGAATCGCTATGTCATGTGTGTAATCGCAACCGCGCTCGAAAAATCCTTTGTAGTATGCGCTTAAAATATATGTAGTGAGATTTCTAGTTTGTTCAGTCATAACAAAGTACAAACCCACGTACGATGTTTTACTGCTATTGCTTTAAACTTACCGTGCAACTCTATACATACCGGCGACATCAGATACGGTGCAACCACCTACACCAGCCATCACACATGTGCCGCCTATGAACACTTGTAGATGTCTTCTAACATAATCCAAAGAATACATCCTCAAAGTGCTATATAGATTTATGATAGCGGCAGCGGCGCACTCATCTAAAGGTCTACCTGCAAGTCACATTTGCTACCCAAAAACAGTGCGCTGCAGTAATCACATGTCGCCTCGTGACGAGAGTCCCGCCGCATATTCCTAAAAGCAACTTTCTTGCGGTTTGCGCATGAGTATGCATTCAAAAACGTAGATTATTTATTTAATTTATTTTTAAGCCTTCTATGTTACCATCTGAAACTATCCTGACTTTTGCCTAGGACACAGATACTTCGCATTTTAGTCTGCGCGGTACCGGCACCATCCAATAAATAGTAAGCGGAAAAATGATTATGGTAA